TGTTTTCAGTGACTGACGCCAACTTTAACCATAAACCAGTTTGTTTTATGTGACTGACGCCAACTTTAACCATAAACCAGTTTGTTTTCTGTGACTGGCGCCAACTTTAACCATAAACCAGTTTGTTTTCTGTGACTGACGCCCAACTTTAACCATAAACCAGTTTGTTTTTCTGTGTCTGACGCCAACTTTAACCATAAACCAGTTTGTTTTCAGTGACTGACGCCAACTTTAACCATAAACCAGTTTGTTTTCAGTGACTGACGCCCAACTTTAACCATAAACCAGTTTGTTTCGGTCCTCACCCGGTTTCATTGGCCAGTTAATGCCAGTTTATTTCTGATGAAACCTAACCCGCGGTACCGTGAATGTGTTAGTAACCAAATCACAAAATATTTTTAGTTGTTTTTTTTTTATTTTACATGGTGCATGTAATGGCTGCGGCTCTGACCCCTGACCTGCAGACATGGAATAATAAACCAACCTGGCCTAAAACTAACCAGGAAATCCTTTGTGGACAAGCCCATCCGACCCCCGGGGGGGTAACGCCACGCCGTGACCACTCCACGCATGTCCTCCCCCCGACTGGGCAAACATCTTTACCTGTCATTAACGCAGCGGTGGTCAGGAGCGTCGGTCTCCCGTACCCCCGCCTCCCCCCCCCCCCCCACCCCCACCCCAATGTTCACCTGCGGACCATGCACTTGTCTACGGGTCTGTGTCCACACTCAGACACACACGTGTGTCCACACTCAGACACACACGTGTGTCCATACCCACTCCTGACACACACACAAATGTCAACATGTTATACAGTGACATCTGATGCATTTATTCATGTAGACGTCCATGCATCCACAGAAATCGCATTTTTCGTACCCCCCCCCCCCCCCCGTATCCACCCGAATCCCCCACCCACCCCCATATATAATAGCGCGTAATATTATTAGTACTTTATATATTCACATGCGTTTTTTTTTTAGAAATCAGAAATAGTGTACATTACCAACTCCGGTCAACGGAAATTGCTCAAAATTTGACAGAAGACAATATATTAGATCTTTTACTTACTTGTGAAATTTCATTTATCTATCTGAAACAGTACTCAAGTTATAGGCTTTTAAAAAATTGAAAGTAGAATAAGGGCCACTTCCGGTTACCGGAATCGCCGAAAAGTTGATACAGAACTACAAATTTGATATAATACTTATATATGAAATTTCATTAACCTAGCTATATAACTATATATGGATGTAATTATAATATATAATAAGAAATATAATAATGCAGTCAGAGGCGTATCCAGGTTTTCGTTGTAGGGGGAGCGAAAAGAGCAAAAAAAAGGCGCCGAATTTTTAACACGTTCTTTATACGTGTATTTTATATATATATATATATATATATATATATATATATATATATATATATATATATATATATATATATATATATAACTAGCTGTATGTCATTACTTCGCTATGATGTAAAAAAAATTGAAAGTAGCACTCTGAAGAATTAAGAAAAAAACACACAATGTAGGCCGATAAAACAAAAATTGTATCAATCTAAACAATATATATATATATATATATATATATATATATATATATATATATATATATATATATATATATATATATATATATATATATAGATATATATAGATATATATATATACACTACAACCAAAAACAATGAACGTAACACAATCTGTTTTGTAATTCTTGTACAAAAAATTCTTACATAATAATTCCTGGGAAATTATTTAAGACAAGTGAAATAGGGGAAATAATCACTCTCTTAATATAAATATGTATATATCTACACATTTAATAATAAATGTCAAAACAAATAAATTATTACTTTAGAATATAATGTTTATATTGTTTAACACTATTCGTGTTTAAAAAATGTTTTTGTCTATAATCAGAATTTAATATATCGTCAGCATAAATGCGAAAGTATTACAGCAAAATGAAAGTTTTTAAAATCAGAGTTGGTATAAAACCACGCTTTTCAATATTATTAAAAAACATTCGGAAAAACAGCCTACGTTTAATTAAATAACGGTCTTTTAGTTCAGATCATATATTTTAATTAACTACTGCTTCTTTGTGTTCTTTAAAGATCATTTTTAACATAGTGATAGGTATGAGTTAGATCACTGTATTAATCACACACCTTTTTACTGGTTATTGCAAAAACAATATTCACAGAGTTTTACGTTTAAAAAGCTAATTTTCTACACGTTCTTAACAGAATTTCTTCCAGGCATCTCTTCGGGGGGGGGGGGGGGGGGGCCAAAAAATTCTACCGGCCCACCCTCCCCCCCCCCCCCGAACGAAATGAGATTTATATAGAAAATATATACTTTTAACAGTGTCCCCCCCCCCCCCCCCGGAAGAAAGAAAGCCTACCCCCCCCCCCCCGAAAATTTCAAGTGCCCCCCCCCCCGGAGAAAAAAGTCTGGAAGAAACACTGGTACTTAACAGATCAGTTCGGGGTGGGTTGGGGGGTGGGTGGGTGGTGGGTTCAACTTCATTCACCACTGTCCGTTCACTTTAGGTCAATTATCCAACCCAGTGTATACCTAGGTGTGACATTAATGTCGCTCTACACAATTGTGGTGGTGAGGTGTGTGTGTGGGGGGGGGGGAGATAAACAACTCAGAGTGAACATAGCGTCAGTTTTTAGATGACTGTTCTAAGCATACATATATATTACACAAATATATATTACGCAAATATATATTACAGAAATAGATGTAAATAAGTAGCAGTGGTATTATGACAATATTTTTTTACAGAGGGGTCCATGGGGGGGGTTGTAACTGTTTCATATAATTTGTTATCGTAATGACTATCGCCCAAACTGTAAGAATACTACTACTTCATCGTGATGACGTTGTTGACCTTGTCAAAATTTCTCCACCACTACGCAGTTTGCCCATAAGTAAATTTAAATAGAGGTGTCACATCAGTTGTATTTGTTTCTGTATTGTAATTTTAAAAAATCAATCACACGATTCAAACTGTATATATAAAGTAATTATGTGTTAAGTTTTATGTATAACATTTTCTAATTCAATTATTCGTAAGCAAATACATTATACAGTTGCCTTAAACTTAACACCCCTCTTGCCAAGTGGTACTACCGTAGAGGTTTTTAAATTATTGCAATGCATCGTAATGGTTATTTTTAGAATGGCAAACTGGTGCAGCTGTTAATACGTATTGTAAACGTAGACACTGCTAGACGAGTACAATAATGCTTAATTGCTGCATGAAATCTTGTGATTTACATAATGTGCCGACCAAAAATATTTTTTTAACAAATATTATTGTTTAAAGCTTTGAGTTTCAAAAGTTTCCAAAAAGGCGCCACTTTGCTGAAAATGGCCAGAGGGGGAGCGGTCGCTCCCCCTGCTCCCCCCTGCGTACGCTACTGAATGCAGTACATCTATGTTAATTGGCTTATTATAGTTAAACGCAATTCAGAATAACCAAGGGAAACAACTAATGTTCACAAAAATCTCTAAGACAAACTAAAGAGAAAAAAAAACGGAGAGTCAATATTAATAATAAACGTAACATTAAATTACCAATTAACTATTTAAATTTTTAGGTTTAAAAATTAAAATTAGACTTATGTATGATGTATAAATAATCAGCCTATTGTCTGTGAATTGAAATACATTTGAAGAGAAGCACTACTATTGTAAATCTGTAACAGTCCTCACAAGCCGATGATGAAAAGCATGTTATATATTTGTTACATTATAGGCTATATATATATATATATATATATATATATATATATATATATATATATATATATATATATATATATATATATATATATATATATATATATATATATATATATATATATATATATATATATATATATATATATATATATATATATATATATATATAAAGTGCCAGGATAAAAAATATTTTCCCATAACAAAAATAGATTTCCAATACGTCTATGAATATTCTAATTGACTTGTCCCGCCACAAAAGCTTAAAAACTGCCTCTTTATCAAGTCAAGTTGTCGGCCACCGTAAACGTGAATTGAGGCTATTCAGTGGGGCGAGACAGCGCATGCGCGCTGGGCCGTCTTGAGGCAGCGCGAGTCTGCCCGCGTGGGGCGACGAACATTGATCCTCAGGTAGAAGCCAGTCAAACCAGTCTCGAGCGAAACCACCGCTGGGTGACATGGCAGAGAACGGGTGTAGCAGAAGCGAAATTTTCATGGCCGTGGAGGAAAAGACATGGATTACATACCACTAGCGGCGACTTTGTTGGCGATTCTCCTCTATTTGAATACGCTAGAGGCGAACTTCGCCTACGATGACAGGTAAGTTGTTGGTGAGCGTGGTAGATCGATGGTTTTGTTTACGTGTTGTCATTCAGCGCCGAGATCACGTGTCACAACAAGTGTATTTTTAGTAACACTTAACACGTGGCACACCTACTTTAACTAAGGCTGGATTCGTGGTTAGGAAATAAAGAAACGGGGGTTTCGGTACACGGTTTATTCAATTAAGGTGTTCTTCCTTTGATGTCACGGGGGTGTGGAGATAATTGACAAGTGTGTGACGGTCACTAGAGAGGTCACGGGTGACTGGTCACCGTGCCGGACCATGTGATACCGGACAGTACAGCTGGTCAGCGTGTTGGCTTGAGTGCCTGTTTGGTGTGGGGAGCTGATGTTTGTCCATTGTGGTGGTGGGACGAGTGGGGGGGGGGGCACATCTGCCGTAACATCCCTCCAGTTCTCCGTACCACGTGACAGCGTTTGATGTTCCTTGAAATCGTTTACATTTGCTTGAGTGTGGAACATAGAGGACTAGCAGCTAATGAGTGTAAAAAAAAATACACCATTAGACTAATACATTTTTTAAAACTATTTATTTTATGCAAGCTATACTTTTATAATTGAAACTAATGATATAACAGCGGCGAAGATATATAACATATTGAAAATGTGTCTTTTGCTTATTTTAATTTTAGCCACTAAATCACTAAATATTTTTCGAATATTCTCACCTTTTCGTCTTTATTTGACCAGTGTGCTGTTACCTTAATACATAGTCCATACATAACACAACACATACACACACTGACGGTTCAACAGTAAACACTATAAATACTTTAGGTGACATCTCTTCTGATACTGTTTTTTTTTTATTTACTCGTTTCATTAACCCCAACTCTCCCAGCCCCCACAACATTACAAATATACGGTGTTTTAAATATTTAAAAATAGTATACCGTTGATTTTATAGGTATATAACATAATAAAATAAATTTTACGATAATGTACCATGATACAATTTAAAATATGAATGAGTTTGAGTAGTTATCTCAACAACAAAAACAGCTCACAACACGACACTCACACAGTCGTGTTGACTCGCGTGTACAACTGGGACACGATCCACATTAAACCAACCAGCTGTTAGCGTTATTTAACCCCAGTCCAATTTTACAGCTGACCGCTCGGTGCACTTCTCATGGATGTGACGTCATTCTGGGATAAGGCTCGCCTTGTTATTAATGTTACCTCAGATTCCCCCCCCCCCCACCCCATTCAATGCTCATTTTTTACGTTTCTTTTGTTTGCAATATTCTAGTTGTAAAAATACTTGCTTGGATTTCAGTGGAATGTTTGATATAAGATTTATATATAAACTGCTGATTCACATCCAAACTTTTAATTCAAATACAAACCGTTAATTCACATAAAAACCGTTAATTCACATAAAAAATGTTAATCCACATAGATCTACATACTGTTAATTCATAGCCCTACAAACTGAATTTACATACAAATTATAGATTTTCATACAAACTGTTAATTTAATTCACATACAAACTGTTAATTCACATACAACTGCTAATTCACATACAAGTTAATTTTCTGGAGATCTATTAAGTAAAATGACCGTGAATAAAGCCCGATTAACAGTATATTTTTTTTTCTTACATAAACCTACAGGCTTAAATTAAACAGAATATATACTATCACTATATTAAACCTACCAGTACTTAGTCTAGCATTAAAAACTCTAATCCTAACTCAAGGTTCAGTGTTATTTTATCTACAGTAAAAAGCTCAGCCTCTAGTCCTACCATACAACCTCCAATATTAAGTCCTCTATTTGATCTTTAAAACTTTATCTCTACTGTAAAACGGTTTAGTCAGTATTGGGAACTATCAACTCAATTAATAGAAATAGAAATTAAAATTGTGTTTTACACACCCCAATCAAATGTAATAGCACCAACTAGTCCGTTACCCATAAACACCCCCTAATAAACTTTACAAGCACCCCTGGTTCGCCATCTCTAAACACCCCGAATAAACTTTACAAACACCCCTCGCCATCTCTAAACACCCCTTATTTCTTCATACCAATACGCACCAAATAACATGACAAGCGCACCTAATTTCGTCACCTCTAAACACCCCCTAATAAACTTGACAAACACCTCTTGTCTTTCTCACATGTCTACAAATACCCCCGGCTCTGATGAAGCTACGTTCCCCCCATAAAACAGCTACGATGTTGTGTTCACCTAGAATAGCTGTGGCCTTATATTCAAATACAACTATAATGTCTCCCAGCGGTCCTTCCCTTGACAATGTACCGCAACTAATCCCCGTATTTTAATGTACTCCAGTCAGACTTTCAAAAAGGTGAATTCGTGACGTTTTGTGGACGTGTATGTGTTTTGCCGACAGTCCGTGATGCGTGATGCCGAGACGTCAGAACGTTTGTTTTCCCGCTTTAAAAACTTAGGCGTTCATCACGTATTCAGGTTAGATAACTCTTAATGGGCTGGGTAGACACAGTTGTTAAGAACAATAGAGTGCTGATTTCTAAACTGAAGCAACAGGTGTATATTTTTCACAATAGTATTTAGTTAAGTAAACATCCCAGCTGTTTTTTTATCCTGTATATTTTGCACAATAGTATTTATTTATGGCAATATCTCATTTTTTTTTTAAGTTATTATTTTCAATAAGATGCTTCAATAATTTCTCCCGTGTACTCTGGGCGAATTATAATGTCCACTGATTTGTATCAACGGCGACTCTCAACCCCCACCAATCACCCCTCCCCGTGATATAAAAGACTTAACTCCACCCCTTCCCATTCATAGCAATCCTCTCCTCTGTGTGTGCGGTCTTATTTAAATACCGCTTTTATGAACATAACAGCGCTACAACCCCCCCACCCCCCCCCCCCCACCCCCACACCCCCCCCCCCCCCCACCCAGTGTCCTAGATTGGTCACCCCGCCGATCTGGACGATCTCTTACATGCATCGTTTCGATCTGGTGTTGGTCACAAGTGTTTGAATATTGGGGCCGGTTTTACAGAAATGGTGTTTAAATAGTGGAGCCGGTGTTACCGAAATGGTGTTTAAATATTGGAGCCGGTGTTACCGAAATGGTGTTTAAATATTGGAGCCGGTGTTATTGAAATGGTGTTTGAATATTGGAGCCGGTGTTACCGAAATGGCGTTTGAATATTGGAGCCGGTGTTACAGAAATGGTGTTTAAATATTGGAGCCGGTGTTATTGAAATGGTGTTTAAATATTGGAGCCGGTGTTATTGAAATGGTGTTTAAATATTGGAGCCAGTGTTATTGAAATGGTGTTTAAATATTGGAGCCGGTGTTATAGAAATGGTGTTTAAATAGTGGAGCCGGTGTTATAGAAATGGTGTTTAAATATTGGAGCCGGTGTTATAGAAATGGTGTTTAAATAGTGGAGCCGGTGTTATTGAAATGGTGTTTAAATATTGGAGCCGGTGTTAATGAAATGGGTGTTTAAATACTCGAGCCGGTGTTACCGAAATGGTGTTTAAATATTGGAGCCGGTGTTACAGAAATGGTGTTTAAATATTGGAGCCGGTGTTATTGAAATGGTGTTTAAATATTGGAGCCGGTGTTACAGAAATGGTGTTTAAATATTGGAGCCGGTGTTACCGTATATTTCAGCCGGTGCGGGCTAAATTATGTATGCTAGTTGTATGTTTTAACCATTAAGGTTGTTGCTATAATACGTAAATAGTGTTGTTCGTTAGGTATTCGTTATCTTTTGGTTGTTTCTTTTTACTAAACTATAGGTGTACTTTTGCTTTGGGGACTAAACTATAGGTGTACTTTCCTTTACTCCATCCACATAGCAACAACGTGGTTGGAGTAGGGGTTACATGAGTATACTGGTTAGGATATTGTGTGGGGATGGGGTGGGGTGGGACATCAAACAACGTCACATTACCTGTGTACAGTGAACTTCCGGTGGGTACAGGGTTCACAGGGTTCGTTAGGTTCCCCCATGTTCCCTCCCCCCCCCCCCCCCCCCCATGGGTGTACTCAACTGCTCGTCTGACCCAGAGAGTTGAAAGTTGGCTCGTGTTTTCTTGTTTGTACTCGTCTTCCGTGTTTCCGTCCGACAAAAGCGCCCCCCCCCACCTCCCTGTATAGTAAGTTCTCCAGCCAGCGCGTTATGTTTTTGTATGGGTTAGTTACAGGAAGCCATTTTAATCATTTTTTTTTCTAAGTAAAAAGCAGTCAAAATTTGGACTCCACGTGTCATACTATGTTTGGCATTTTTGTTAAAAGGTTTTTATTTTTGTATGTTAACAGAGTCTGTTGGTTGGTATAGACCGACTGAGATTTACACTAATCTGGCCGTGTAAGTGCTTGAATAAAGGATTTAGAAGCAAGGGATCAACGAGGAAATGGAAGGGTGTGGTAGAGGGGCAGCAAATGAATTAAACAGGGGTGCAAGATCAGAGGGGGGTTCAATCATCGGAAATTACAAGGCTACTTGTAGGGGGGCGGAGTTGTTTTTTTTTTTGGGGGGGGGGTGTATTGATGCTAAATTCTGCAAAAGTATAGACGGAACTAAATAAATGTAGACGTCTATAAACAAAACTATTCCGTCTCGATTTATAAAACTCTCTAAACAAATGTAGAAGTATATAAATAAATGTAGATATTTCTAAATAAATGTACACGTCAGCCTACTAGACGTCAGTTAAAAGAGGTCATGAGTCAAGGAATTCACAAACCCAAATGTACACTTAAAAGCTATTTAAAAAAAATTTATTTTATCTATTCACACAACGGGGTCACACTAAAGCGCCCTCTAGCAGTAAAAAAAAAGCGAGTCACTTGGAATCAACATTTCCACCGTCTCGGCCACATCCGCAATTACCAGAGTCTTTGGTTTTATTGATTCAATAAATGCTCTACGTAGGCCTCACCCCCGGGCTAGGGGAGCTAAGATGTATTGTGAGGTAGGTCTCTCGCCAGCCATATGGAGCTTAAATGGGAC